TTATAGAGATGATGGGTGAAATTTTAAAATCACCAATAAAAAAATAAGGTGTTAACCAATAGACTTACAGTATTTAATAGAAATGACATTGCTGGCTTACATTTGGGTGCTTACTGGGTGCCTGGCATGATGGAGAACTTGAGAAAGAGAAGTTAAATAACTTACCCAAGGTCACAGAGTAAGTGGTAGAGCCTCAGATAACTGAATCTTTACCAGTTTTTTTTTTTTGTGAAACTGAAAAAAAAAATTAAGAAAAGGATAAAATGTATACAAGCTAAAGGTAGTCAAGCTCCAGTTTTTAATGCAGAGAACTGAGTTTAAAGTAACTGTATTTAAGTTGATCAGTCATCTTTGATTATGCAAATATTCTTACTCATTTGAGTTTCTGTTAAGGTAACCCATCTTTCCCTGTCTTTCTCTCTGTTTAACCAGGAATTTCAGTGCAAAAACCTCTATAGTTCTGAACATACTGGGGTGATCGGTCACCTTATTCCTTATTTCTGATGTTGATACTAAATTTTGCTTCTAGTTTCACAGTAGGAAAGTTTTTACTAAAGTACGGCTGACTGATCATAAGAAACCTTTTTCTCTTTTCTTTATAAGCTAAGTCTCTTGCCTGTGTTTTTGTCTGTCTTCTGTTTAAGATATGAATCTGGAGACCTTCACTGTGTACACAGTGCTTAGCACTTACTTAATAATTAGTGAATCTGATGTTCTGGGTAGTTGGTAGAAGAGATAACCATGCCATTGTTAGTGGTGGGGAAACTGAATCAAGAAAAAGCAGGACGTTTCTTGTGGCCCTGGGAATCCAGAGCATCTGAATCAGCAGCATTATTTGCTTGGGTCCGTGCTTGGAAATGTAAACAAAGGCCCCCTAGATAAAAATATTTCCATTATCTTAAAGTAAACATACGTGATCATTTAAGGGTCCGGTTCTAAGTAGCACTGCTGCAGTCAATGACTTGGTTAATCTGCTTAGTTAAGCTAGACTCATTGACAGAAAATTTAATGATGCAAATATTTTTATCCTTAGCAAACTATGAATTTTCCTCAAGGAGAGATTAAATTAAGCCCATATGTGCCAATTTCTTATTTGTATATTTGTTTTTTTGCAGGGAAATTTAAGTGGGAAAATGAAATCGTTTCCTTTCTGTCAGAGGTTTTTAACACCTATTAACACCTTTAAAGAGCAAAGGTATACGGGGCTATTTGGAAGTTAACATGGGTGGAAGTTAGAGATGCAACTCAGGTTGTGTGGAATTTCCATTTCTCAACTTTCTAAGCAGAGGCCTTGTTACCAGATACTCTCCTTCCTCTAGTAAGTTGAAAAGATACAGAAAACAGGAAGCATTTCTCTATCCCAGTAGGGGGGATAAAGGGAGTGGGGAGAGACTGAGGTGGGTGCAAAGAGGATAACCTATTGACGTTGTGAAAGCCTGGGATTTTTATTCCTTATGAGGTCAGCTGTTGGCAACCAGGCTGAGTGCTTGATTTTCTTTATTCTTCATTTTGCCTTTCCTTTTTCATAATAATTTGAGTGCCCTGGATGTGTCTCCATAGTAAATTTTGGAATTCTGGCAGTGAAAGGCCGAGTGCAGCCCCCCAAATCCACACACATGCGTGGGCTTTCTCCCCCAATGCTGTTGCACTGAGCTTAAGTGAGTGCCTCCCACATTTGGTCATCCTTAAACCCATGACCTGAAGGTGAACAGGTTATCCGTTGCTGACTCTTAGAATGATTACACTCGTTACTACTTACGCTTATGTAGCAAGGCATAAGTTGAAGTTGCCAAAGAAGGGATCTATTTTTATTTTGCCTTGAATAAGTCATAAGCAAGTTCTTTTCGTGCAGAAGTGCTGAACACAATCTAGATCCAGCTCCTTCAGGAGCCCTTATTTAGCGCCATAAAATTTGTCATGAATGGAAGCAAATTTTGTTAAACAGCTCGTCCCACCTCTCCCCCGGAGTATTTTTTTTTTTTTAGCGCTCTTCCTCCTACAGTGAAGACTCCTTATATCTTACATGTTTCAGAATTTCAAAATGTAATTGTACGTCAGACACAATATGTGGGCCTGCTTTAGTACTGGGCTCTGTGCTGTTGCCTTATCTCTGACCTGAATCTTGCCGTGGTAAAAAAGAAAAGCCATCTGTCAGTGGGGTATTCTTGCTACCCTTCTAGTAATCATCTTTATTGCCATTCGTTTCTCCTGATTGCTGCTCTGACATTTCCATGAAAATTACCGAGGGCAGCTGAACTAGATAAATTAGGCCCTTTCTGACCAAATGAAAAACCATTGACATTTTGGCAGTGCTAAACTCATTAACGGTATTAGCCAGGAGTCCTGCTTTTAGTCAAGCTCCACTCTGGGCCTGGGACTGTAGGCTGAGGAAGATAAAGATGTTACAGCTCCTAATTAACAAGTGTGGTAAATGGCAAGTAGTTTGTGGGAGTCCCTGAGTAACATTAATCAGATTTAGAAAGCTACCACAATTTAATAATTTGTTTCATTGTCAATGTGAAAAAAAAAAGCCGTATTATTCTAAAGGTATGAAGGAAGTGCTTTTTTGATGTGTTATCACTGCGGTAGTAAAATGGGAGAGGGAGGAGTGTAGCCACATAAGCGTTCTTCATCCTTCAGGTTTTCTTTGACAAAAGCTTATGGCAGAGAGTTCACTGGCCTCTGGTTCCCCGTAGTAGGGCCTGTGGGAGTCAAAGGGCCCTGTCCCCACCTGGAGAGAAACTGTAGAGCTGACTCCAGGAGGGGAACTGGCCTGCTGGTGTGACACGGGTTTTGTAGGCAGAGAATTAGTATGTGCCCTTCTGCCTCCAGCATGTGGAGCTGGTCTGTCTTTTGTTTCCTCATCCCTGTCTTCTCTGTCAAGTGCTCGCCCACCCTAGCCCTGCTGTTTCCATTGCTCCTTCACTGCTTCTAAGTTTTGCTGCCATTCTCTGTCTGTCCCTTCAGTGCCCTTTGCTTCATCTCCACCTTCTTTCTCATCTTTGAGAAAAAAGTCTGTTCCTTACAGATAACACCAGTCAGTGTTAATAGTCCCGTCCTTGTGTTCAGTACTAACCGATCAGGATAGCGGTGGGTAGAATTGTTGGCTTCTCTAAGCTGGTCCGTCTCAGCTGATGTTTCTTTCCCCTTCAACCCAGTGTTTGGAACCATCCTAGAATCCAGTTATAACTCGTTCCCAGATAACCAAAGAATAATGGGTGATTTGAGAAAAACTCACTTCTCAAACTGAGAAGCTTTCTTTTGCCATCAACTTGGGGAGTGTTACATTAGACAGTAGGTGTGTAACTGAGCAGGACCCTATGTGGGCTTCCCGGGACAGGCTCTCCCCCACATCCTCTGCTCTAGCTCCTCTGTGAGGTACCCAGATCATAATATCTCATGCATATTTCCTGAGTTTTTCAGATGCTAAAAACCGCCACCAAAGGGAAGAAATGAACTAATTGATGATCATGAGTACATAGCCCCAAGACCTGGCACATATAAGTATAGAAGTTATTTTTAATAGCTTTATTGAGATACTCATGATAAAAATTCTCCTGTTTTAATGTGTATAGTCCAGTGGTTTTTGTATACTCACAAGAATGTGTAACCATCCCCACAATCTAATTTTAGACTATTTTCATCGTCCCTGAAAGAAACCCCACTAGCAGTCACTCCATTCCTTCCCACTCCCTAGGCAGCGATGAATCCGCGAAGGATTTGCCTATTCTGGAAATCACATATTAAATGGCCTTCTGTGATTAGCTTATTTCACTTAGTATGATGTTCTCAAGGGTCATCCATGTGGTAGCATGTCTCAGTATGTGGCTGGGTTTTTTGTTTGTTTTTTTTATTTCCAGATGAACTTTTGTTTTTTAAACTGTAGTTGCTTAACAATGTGCTTCTGGTGTACAGCACAGTGATTCAGTTATATATGTATTTTTCCAGATTCTTTCCCATTATAGGTTATTACAAGATACTGAATATAGTTCCCTGTGCTGTACAGTAGGGGCTTGCTGTTTATCTGGTAGATGGGTTTTGATTTGGCTGCCGAGTGGATGGGAAGTGGGGCCCTGACAGGAAGAAGCCGGATGGAGTGGAGTGGGTGTGCCTCACCTGTTAACACGCTGACAGCCATGTCACCTAAATCTGGGTGATAGTTGTGTTTCCTCAGGGCACACGATCCACAGTGGGCAATCAGCGTGTTAGGTGGAATGATGGTGCCGCCCGCTTTACTTCCCAGAGTTATTCTGAAGATCAGATATTGTGTATGAACATTTATCTGTTCATTTTATGTAAACTTAGAGGTTTTGGTGGCCCATTTTGCTGAAGAGAAGGCAAGTTTCAGGGGCAAGGGGATGGAATGGAGACCCCATGACTTTTGGGTTGATGGCCGTGCAGGTGGATCAGTGCGGATGGCCAAGCTGAAGAGCCTCTGTGAGATCATGCTGGTGGAGTCAGTGGCTAAGCCCGCAAGAGCTGAGTCTCTAGGGTGGAGTTAAAGAAGGAAGTGCAGAGGGCTGAGGTGTGGAGAAGGCCTGTGGTGAGAGGGTAGGAAGAAAAGAGAGAGGGAGCGCTCAACCTGTTCTGCTGAAATGGAGTAATGATGCAGTCATTGCCGAGTTCTCTTAATTAGCTGTTGGCCAAGTCAAGTCTGTGCAGGATCCTCTGACCCAATTTATTCTTGGCCCAAACCCCCTTGCTAGCCGGTCAGTGACTTAGGCCCTTATTTAAAAAACAAAAGGAAACAAATCAGTGAAGTACCCTGGGCTTAAAATGTGACCCAGATCCTAGGCCAGGATCCCACTCCCTAGTGTGCTGACTTGAACTTGACCCTGATCTCTTTGAGCCTTAGGTGCTTTTTGTCCGTATGAGATAGTCAGCTCCCTTGCTGGGAGGCTAGAAACCACTGCGAATGCACCAAGGTGTGCACAAAGGCTTTGAGAGTGCCAAGATGTCCTTGAATGTGAGGGAGTAGTGCTCTTCCCTCTGCTGCCCACTCCTCTCCCAAATGAATGCAAATGAAACCAGATGGAAGATACTGGGAATTTCCCCAGGGCTGTCTCTGGCTGCATTCATCAGAAGCTCTGCCCGTTGGGTAACTGTCTGCAAATGGTGTAATTGACTGTTGCTGGGTAAACAAAAGCCCCACTTTGGGAGAATGAACATCTAATCTGAATGCACCGCCAACCCCTTCTCCCCACCTGTTGGCTTTTTTTTTTCAGGAGATGTGATACTTTTGCAGTGCTAGCAGTAGTGGTAGGGGGGGGTGTGTGTGTGTGTGTGTGTGTGTGTGTGTGTGTGTGTGTGTGTGAGAG